ATGTAGGCATATACAGTATAAAGCCAAATGGGAATCGACCCAACCATCCAGCTATATTTGTACTACCTCGCACGCGGGCTTTGATAGAGTGTCCACTGTAACAGTGTTTTTGTTTAGATTGGTTAATTGATTGTTTGATAGATAGATAGATAGATAGATAGATAGATAGATAGATAGATAGATAGATAGATAGATAGATAGATAGATAGATAGATAGATAGATAGATAGATAGATAGATAGATAGATAGATAGATAGATAGATAGATAGATAGATAGATAGATAGATAGATAGATAGATAGATAGATAGATAGATAGATAGATAGATAGATAGATAGATAGATAGATAGATAGATAGATAGATAGATAGATAGATAGATAGATAGATAGATAGATAGATAGATAGATAGATAGATAGATAGATAGATAGATAGATAGATAGATAGATAGATAGATAGATAGATAGATAGATAGATAGATAGATAGATAGATAGATAGATAGATAGATAGATAGATAGATAGATAGATAGATAGATAGATAGATAGATAGATAGATAGATAGATAGGATAGATAGATAGATAGATAGATAATAGTATAGATAGATAGAATAGATAGATAATGTCTGGGTCCTACTGATCAAACAGTGCAAGAATGATCTCTTAAGACTGGGTCGACTGTCTCACCCTAGTTTTGGTCGCTTCGGATATTTCTGGTTCTTACTTCAGAAGGCTGAAAAATTAAACAATCTGAGAAACGCATTACAAACAGGAAGGACATATCGATGTAGCTAGGAGTAATAACTGGATGCTAAGAAGACATACAACTTTTGTCCATAAAATTGGTTTTTGTATAAATATTCGATGGATATATGTATTTGTATTACGTGCCTTCCATTCAATTTATTTAATTTTAACACTATTAAACGTAGAAAAAAAGTATTGAAAAATGTTAATAGATTTTTGAACTCATTAATATTTTTGTAAATATTACAATGTGCGAATATAAAATAATGTCTGTTTTAATATTTGTTATTGCTTTTTAGCGAAACGAAAAAAAAAAATTAGAAAATCGACCACAACAACAAAATAATGTTAAATTTGAATTTTGCTGGTTTTACTTCCAAACAGCAACCAAAACATAAAAGTTCGTACGTATATTTATTTGCATTTTAAAACATTGGCCAAATGCCCGTTATTAGGCTGAAGAAAAAACACAAATTTTTCTAATGCTTGTTTTTTTTTTTTTTTTTTGCTAGAGAGCTATAGAAAAAATAAAAACCTCAATTAACAAAAAACACGCGCCTTCTTGAGCATGACCCATTGTGAATTCAGCTGTGCCAATAATGATGATGAGTAAAATGAAAATTGGAATAGAGCATTCAATATTTATGTTTAAAACTGCAATCACCTAATGACAGGTTGGTGGTGAACGTCCAACAAAAAGAAAAAATCCATCAGTTTTAAATAAATTATGTATGTATTTTAAATTTTCAATTAAAACAACTATGTACAACAAAAAACGTTAAAATAGGTAAAATAAATCACAAAAAAATTGAAAAGTTAATGAACGCTAAAAACTGTGGGATTAAATGTTTACAAATAACAAACAAGTATTTCCCATTATTCTAAAACATTAAGATGTTCCATGTCCATTAAAATTTAAGAAGCAGAAAGCAGTAACTACCGATTTAAGTGACGATAGGTCCACATTTTTAAAAACATCTACGAATGAATGTTGTATTATATTAATCCTAATATTAAAACCTAAATTTTCAATAATGATTCTTTGAATTATGGAACCTAGGGTATGGATACATATACCTACATATACATATGTTAATACTTCCGAGATAACATCCCTTCGCTTATCTTTTAGTGACTTACTGTTAACACTGTCAAAAGCCTTCTTAAAATCAGTGAAGGCTGTTTATACTGACATTCTATATTCGTTGTATTGTCCGAATTTTATTCGGACTGTGTTAATGGGGTCAATGCAAGAACGATTTTCCCAAAATCAGATGTTATTATGCAGACTTAGTAAAAAATCTTATTGGGAGAGCGTAATAAAGCTATGCATCAATTGAATTCCAACATGATGGTAATGTTTCCTCGTTCCATACCTCTGTAAGTATGCGTGCAGACAGGTGCAGCCAACTCTGAGTCACATGTAAGTAATTCCGCAGTAATGTTATCATTACAGGCGCTTTCCCACTCTGATTTGGTAATTGTGCCTAATCGCGGAGAAGAATGTGCTGCGGTGTCATACGGGTTAACAGGCATAAGTCCTATAGGAGTATTAAAAGTCTCTGATAAGTGTTCTGAGCCCACCTCACTAGTTGTTTATCATCTGTGGTAATTAATTTTCCATCCAGGTCTCTAATAGGAGCACAGTTTTAAGTAGGTTTCCTGTAATAGTTCTTATTATTTCATATAGATTGTTAATATCACCAATTCTGATATCCATAACCTTTGCAATTTCGGGCAGATTTTTCCACCTCTTTAGCCAAGAACTGGTATTTTACTTTCAGATCGCTTTGTTACATTTTCACATGAGTTGTAATTCAATCGTTCCAAATTAGTTACTCTGCGCTCTTCTAATAATGACTAAGTCCTATCTGACAACTATATTTTGCTTCTGTTATTCCGATAATCTAGAGTTGTGAAACTAACGGAACGACCATTCCTCTAGGTTCTAACCATTACAGTATTCTTTCTATATGACGTAAATGCTGCAACATACATTCATAGGTATATAAGATATGAGGCGGGACTTGTAGACGAACGGTTCATATCTTTATGCAAACTGGTCAGAAACACGTCATCAATGTATACTGGACACGTCATCAATGTATACTGGATACATTGGAAGGCATACCATATACAGAATTTGTTGGAAACTTTGAAACACTGATCCCAGTGAGAATGTCTCGATCAAGTGGAATATAAGAAGTCCGTTACAACACGGGTGGTTCTAAATTGGAGGGCAAAGTGGGCCTATATTGAAGACCCAAAAAATGAAATATACCACAGTTTACTTTATCACAACACTAGCATCCAGGCAGAAGTCCGAGCAATAATACAGTTAAATCCAAGACCGTATTGGATTGTAAGAAAACTCTAAGGGAACACTCTGCCAGGTGTAAGGCTTACATCATATGGGTACCAGACCACCACTTGACGCAACAAGAACATAATTCTAAATATAGGTGGATGCAGCCATAAGGCCTCTTAGAGTAATGAAACAGTGGGTAAAGCCACAAGGATCCTATGGGGTAACCCTAACGAGAGCTGGACGATAAACCACCACAAAAAGGAAGTCTGAGGTAAGTATGATGGCATGTATTCTGAGTTACTGGCAATGCTACACAAAATTTCACATGAGGAAGCAGGCGAAAGTAGAGCATGTAGAGAGTGCAGTGAAACTCTGGAGCACTTCACTTTCCCATTCTCCTAAATTAGATCCAAATATCTTGATATTATTCCAGATTGAACATCCCTCACGAACATTGATTGTAAAATTCTTAGGTACTATGACAAGGAAACTGAGTTTTTGAATATCGGACAATAATACATTTAGTAAATACTATATAAGGCTTTTGTTTTCACCAACAAACATTTACCGATCGCATACCATATACAAAATTTGTTGGAAACTTTGAAACACTGATCCCAGTCAGAATGCCTCGATCAAGCGGAATATAAGAAGTCAGTTACAACATGGATGGTTCTAAATTGGGGACAAAGCTGGCCTGGGGTTCTATATTGAAGACCCAAAAAAAAATATACCACAGTTTACCTTATCACAACACTAGCATCCAGGCAGAAGTCCGAGCAATAACGGAATTCGTAAACTGGATTGGAATAAATATGACACCCATAGACCTTAACATATTTACCGACAGACAGAAGAGTGTGATAGAGTGAGATACAGCCTAAGGCCTCTTAGAATAATGAAAGGGTGGGTAAAGCCCCAAACATCCTATGGTAACCCTAACGAGAGCAGGACGACAAACCACAACAAAAAGGGCAAGACTGTATTCTCAGTGGCCCTGTGTGTCCACTTACGGGCAACGCTATACAAAATTTGACTTGTAGAGCATGTAGAGAGTGCAGTGAAACTCTGGAGCTCTTCACTTTCCCATTATCCTATATTAGATCCAAATATCTTGGGAGTGATATTATTCCAGATTGAACATCCCTCACGAACACTGATTCGAAAATTCTTAGGAACTACGACAGTGATTTCCACTAACGTCTAACCAACTAGTTGGCTCTAATTCATCTTTCGTCACGGATGTACTCTTTGTAAACGAGGGTGAAGATAATCGTTACTTTAGTATCCTCTTTGTAAGCGAGAGAGGGGACACTTAAAAAGCACTTGTCGGTCTCTTCGTAACCTATGGGGTGTCGATTGATTTCCGAGTAGGACAAGCACATGTTAAAATAGCTAGTCATAGCTAGGTTAAATAGGAAGTTCGGGACTGTCCGACCGAACTGCTGGAAGAATACTATATAAGGTTTTCGTTTTTACCAAAGAAGCGCACAACAGCTGTATTTCATCGGATTTGATGTACATCATCCTAACAATTTAACCTAACCAAAGATTTGTTTGAGTAATATTAAAATTGGGTAATATCGGTAATATGGATACATCGGACGATAATACATTCAGTGAATACTATATAAAGTTTTTGCTTTTACCAACAAACATTTAACATGCCTAGACTTAGGTATATTTCTTAGGATTTGATGTATCAACTAAACAACCTAATCTATGATTTGTTTGATTGGTAATAACATTTGGCAATATCTGTTATATGGGTGGATCCATTAAATATAGTTTAAACGGCCACAAAAGTGTTAATTACATAAGCAATATAATATATGAACTTGTAGTCACTTATTTGTGGATATTACGACACTTTTTCTTAAAGTCCATGGACATTATGACACGCCACCAACGATTATAAGTAGTATTCTTATTAATTTTTTTTAATTTACCAAAATGTATAACACTTTCATATCGGTGATGCTCTAAATCCAATTTTATTTAAATTAGTTCCACTTTTTAATACAAAAAGATAAATGTCTTTGTTCGCACTTAGATGTATGATGGCAAATAAAAATTTTTATATTAAAATATTTACAAACATGGCACGTAATATTAATTATATTTTTATTTTATCAAAAAATCTTCATAACATTTTGTTTGACTGCAGAAATTCAGACAGAACAATGAAAAATAAAATATGTATGCATATGTAGTAAACCTGAAGCATGCAAATTTAATGTGTACAGTAGAATCTTGATTGTGTGTAGCGGTAGAATAAAAATTTTGAATATTTATGTGTAATATTCGGAAGGAAGGGGGCTAGTGGTATATATGGTGGCTAGAAGATATCCATCAAATCCATTTCAAAAATGTATGATTCGACTCAAAAGGCAATTCTTAAAGATTATGTATAAAAATCCGTATTTGTGTAATTTTACATTACCCAAAACAAAAAAGATTCTCCTGTTCAATTTTCTATGAAATGAGGCAAACTAAATGACAAGAAACTAAAAATACTGTAGGTAGAAACAGCTACCCAACAAGAACAAGATACAAATGCACTTTTCATGTTCATCTTTTACAAAGTTTTGTTGTACAAAATTATTTATTGTATTTTTTGAATTTGTATTCATATTTGAACAAAATAAGATGGCAGTAAAGGTAGAAAATAAAATTTTACCATTTATTTCGACCAACATACATATTATATTGTGACTGTTCCGATATTTATGTGTAGTACATGCGGACGTACGTAAACAGTAATTGACAATACAATAATAAAATCTTTCAATAAAATAAATTTGTTGCCAATTTTCGTTACAATCTATATTTATATAAAAGCAATCGTCAAAATAAATAGATTATTTTTAGGAAATTAAATATTTATATTGTATTTTAATGAGGAATTTTGTAAAATAAAAGTCTATTTAAAAATACAATAATATTAATTGATGTTTGATGTAATGAGCAGCAATTGTAGAAGGGAGATGAGGGTATTATGATAATTTTAACAGTCGCAAATATAAATGAATTACACAGGGCAACAAAATTTTAAAATAGACGTAATTTTTTAAAGCATTAAGCTGCATTGAATCGGAATCTGGTCCCGAATTTGTCGGTCACAGTCTGTAGTCTAGTCTATAGTCCAGTCTATAGTCTAATCTATAGTCCAGTCTATAGTCTAATCTATAGTCCAGTCTATAGTCCAGTCTATAGTCCAGTCTATAGTCCAGTCTATAGTCCAGTCTATAGTCCAGTCTATAGTCCAGTCTATAGTCCAGTCTATAGTCCAGTCTATAGTCCAGTCTATAGTCCAGTCTATAGTCCAGTCTATAGTCTAGTCTATAGTCCAGTCTATAGTCTAGTCTAGGTCTAGTCTATAGTCTAGTTATAGTCTAGTCTATAGTCTAGTCTATAGTCTAGTCTATAGTCTAGTCTATAGTCTAGTCTATAGTCTAGTCTATAGTCTAGTCTATAGTCTAGTCTATAGTCTAGTCTATAGTCTAGTCTATAGTCTAGTCTATAGTCTAGTCTATAGTCTAGTCTATAGTCTAGTCTATAGTCTAGTCTATAGTCTAGTCTATAGTCTAGTCTATAGTCTAGTCTATAGTCTAGTCTATAGTCTAGTCTTAGTCTAGTCTATAGTCTAGTCTATAGTCTAGTCTATAGTCTAGTCTATAGTCTAGTCTATAGTCTAGTCTATAGTCTAGTCTATAGTCTAGTCTATAGTCTAGTCTATAGTCTAGTCTATAGTCTAGTCTATAGTCTAGTCTATAGTCTAGTCTATAGTCTAGTCTATAGTCTAGTCTATAGTCTAGTCTATAGTCTAGTCTATAGTCTAGTCTATAGTCTAGTCTATAGTCTAGTCTATAGTCTAGTCTATAGTCTAGTCTATAGTCTAGTCTATAGTCTGTCTATAGTCTAGTCTATAGTCTAGTCTATAGTCTAGTCTATAGTCTAGTCTATAGTCTAGTCTATAGTCTAGTCTATAGTCTGGTCTATAGTCTAGTCTATAGTCTAGTCTATAGTCTAGTCTATAGTCTGGTCTATAGTCTAGTCTATAGTCTAGTCTATAGTCTAGTCTATAGTCTGGTCTATAGTCTAGTCTATATCTAGTCTATAGTCTAGTCTATAGTCTAGTCTATAGTCTAGTCTATAGTCTAGTCTATAGTCTAGTCTATAGTCTAGTCTATAGTCTATAGTCTATAGTCTTAGTCTATAGTCTAGTCTATAGTCTAGTCTATAGTCTAGTCTATAGTCTAGTCTATAGTCTAGTCTATAGTCTAGTCTATAGTCTAGTCTATAGTCTAGTCTATAGTCTAGTCTATAGTCTAGTCTATAGTCTAGTCTATAGTCAGTCTATAGTCTAGTCTATAGTCTAGTCTATAGTCTAGTCTATAGTCTAGTCTATAGTCTAGTCTATAGTCTAGTCTATAGTCTAGTCTATAGTCTAGTCTATAGTCTAGTCCTATAGTCTAGTCTATAGTCTAGTCTATAGTCTAGTCTATAGTCTAGTCTATAGTCTAGTCTATAGTCTAGTCTATAGTCTAGTCTATAGTCTAGTCTATAGTCTAGTCTATAGTCTAGTCTATAGTCTAGTCTATAGTCTAGTCTATAGTCGTCTATAGTCTAGTCTATAGTCTAGTCTATAGTCTAGTCTATAGTCTAGTCTATAGTCTAGTCTATAGTCTAGTCTATAGTCTAGTCTATAGTCTTGTCTATAGTCTAGTCTATAGTCTAGTCTATAGTCTTGTCTATAGTCTAGTCTATAGTCTAGTCTATAGTCTAGTCTATAGTCTAGTCTATAGTCTAGTCTATAGTCTAGTCTATAGTCTAGTCTATAGTCTAGTCTATAGTGTAGTCTATAGTGTAGTCTATAGTCTAGTCTATAGTGTAGTCTATAGTCTAGTCTATAGTCTAGTCTATAGTGTAGTCTATAGTCTAGTCTATAGTCTAGTCTATATTCTAGTCTATAGTGTAGTCTATAGTCTAGTCTATAGTCTAGTCTATAGTCTAGTCTATAGTCTAGTCTATAGTCTAGTCTATAGTCTAGTCTATAGTCTAGTCTATAGTCTAGTCTATAGTCTAGTCTATAGTCTAGTCTATAGTCTAGTCTATAGTCTAGTCTATAGTCTAGTCTATAGTCTAGTCTATAGTCTAGTCTATAGTCTAGTCTATAGTCTAGTCTATAGTCTAGTCTATAGTCTAGTCTATAGTCTAGTCTATAGTCTAGTCTATAGCCTAGTCTATAGTCTAGTCTATAGTCTAGTCTATAGTCTAGTCTACTCCACAGTGTTATATTCAGAAGGGGCCCTACGATTTAATAATTTATTATATTTATGACGAATTCATTTCATCTAGTCTATAGTCTATATTATATTTATGACGAATTCATTTATTACATGGCGAAGAGATTTTCCAAATACGGATATTTATAGAGGTTTGGGTTAATAACTTCCATGGACCCAAATAGTATTATAATTTCCATGGATATGGCTATTATTGCTCTGTAATTTCACAATTTCCATGAGCATTGTGATGTAAAGAGAATGGATTACAAAAAGGCAATGTGTTTGAATTACGCCACAGTTTAAAACCCTTGCCGAAGCCCTGTATAACCGATTCTTTTAAAGGGGATCCAGAAATATACACCAAATAATCCTAAACAAATATTTCAACACATTTCTGTATTAAAAAAGTCACCGTGTCCATAGACATGATGGCACTTTTAAACATCCATGGAAAATTAAGAACCAAAACATGCAAACGGAATGACAGAATCTAGCTTTTGATAACGGTCACAAAAATTGCTTTATTTTAAATATTAAGTTTCCCTAGAATTGTACACCCACTGTAGCTTTATATTCATGAATTCACTGGAATACTCTGAATAAATATCCATGAATATTTGATTTTGTCTATGGCTATGTCACTTTGTATATATTTTACAAAATATTTGACTATTTAATCGTCTGCCTGTTTTTAAGTTAGTGGGTCTGTCCGATTGTCTAAACATAAACAAAGATGGTTTGGTTTTTCTTGTTATTTTGTTTGCATTTGTTATGGCAAAGACGTTGCCAATTTATTTCTTGTGGTGGCATTTGAGCAAAAGAATGGTCAATGAGTTTTATTGGCCACATGCCACATGTGTTGAAAATGTATTACGGACCATATTTTAAAATTTTATTTATATTTCAGCGAATTTACAGGAAAATCACATATTAAAAGTAACAAATAGTTTTATTAAAGCTGTCAGTAGTAATGGAATTTATTTTTAGTATTCAGACTTAATATGCGTTCATTAAAATGCTTACAATTAATACTGAAACTATTTAATTATGATGAATTATATAATTATAAAGTAAAAATATAAACATTTACTTAACTAGAATAACAATTAATTATAATTAGTTATGTTTCTATTTGTTTAAATAATTCTTACCTTTTTAGGTGAAACCGTTCAGTAAAAATACCTGTAAATGTAAAAGTATAAAGTAAATTAATTTATTATATTGTTTATACGCAATTAATTAATATTAATTAATTATAATTTAAATAAAAACTTTATTTTGTAACACATTTATGAAAATATTTTGATAATTATCACCTAATAATAAAAAGTGCGTACTAATTAAACCATTATAGAAAAACTTTATGATGTTCTAATGATTTTAATTGGATTTATATACAACACACATACAAACATACGTTTGTAGTAAGTATATACAATTTTTGTTTGCTGAAAGTTTAAAATTTGAAACTTTTATGATGCTGCCAAAAATATTATAAATACTATTCAACATGCAATTAAAGTTAATTAAAAACAAGTTAGAGTGCTATATTCGGCTCTGCCGAATCTTAAATACCCTCCACCAGCAAGCTACTTTTCATTGAGACCAATTTAACTATCTAATTTTTAGATAACTTGGCGAAATTTTTGTTTCCTTATTGAGGGTACTAACATTTATGCATATGTCAAACTAATTTTAATTATGTCGAGAAATATGTATGTATATTTTGAAAACATTTTAATATAATGATATATCTGTACACAGAACAT